ACCGATTTCTATGGTTACCCGCGATGGAGGTGGTGAGAAGGGAAACACGCATGGGCGCAGCTCCACGCATGGGGGCAGCCTCTATCACCCTGGCCCCCAGACCCCACAGCCACATAAAGCCACCCCTGCACCCAGCAGCGCTGTGGGGACACCAGCTCCCCAAAGCCACGCAGGAGCACCCAGGGTGCCGATCCCCTGCAACAGTGCTTTGCCCAGGGGACGTGCATCCTCCCTGCTGCCAGCAGCACCAGGGATGGGAGCAGGCAGCACTGCCCCAGACCCTGGCACAGTCCCATGTTACCAACTAGAGAGACATCATGGGCTTAAAAATAAAAACAAGCCCTGCGGTAACAGCTGTAAGACTTCAGACCACGGCTCATCCATCACTTTGAGGCGCCTTGTGACCAAGAGTCATAGCCAATGGCCCCAAGTGTTGCTACTGCCTTCTTGGAAGGATCTCATAAATTAACTTGCAAACATCAATTAGGCAAGTTTGATAAATGCCATGTGATCACGGCAGCAATAAGGCCAAGCACACTGTGCACCCAGCAGGGCATGGGATGCCAAACCAGGAGCACCGGTTCCCATGCCAGCAGCCGAGCTGCAGGCACTAACCACTGTGGGCCCCCAGAGAAGCCACCCCAGGCAACGGGATGGATGGACCAAGGACAGATGCTAAGGGGAGGCTCCACGTCCCCACTTGTCCCCTGTTTCCTCCCCTGCACCAAATTCAAGCAGGCGCCTCATCATCTGCAAACAGAGGGGCTGCGTGTTGCCTTGGAGGGCAGCATGTTGATGGCAGTCCCCAGGGCCACTGGCCAAAGGGACAATAAATTACTGTGAGCAGGGCTTGAATCTGCATGGGTATTTTTTCTCTTTCAAGCTCGTTGGCTCACACCAAGGAGGCTGGAGAAAACCCAACAGTGCAACTCAGGTGCATATATTGATTTTTGCCAAGCCCCACATAAGATGCAGCAGCACACCCCAGGGTGTGGGATCAAAAACCTGCATTTAGCTCAAAAAAAAAAAAAAAAAACCAACCCAGGAAAAAAAAAAAAAAAAAAGCAATCCCAGAAATGTGAAAGCCACTGGGTTTGTTACCCAGGGAGACCTGGAGGCTCTTCACCAGGATCAGCAGCTCTCACAACCTCTCTGACAGGGCAAGTGGTACCGGGGGGGGGCACAAAAGCCTTCAGGAGACAGAGGGGCTTGGCTGGGAAGGGGAGGGTGGCATCTCACGCGCTGGGCAGCCCCGTGCAAGGCCAGGGAGGGTTTTCACAGCGCAGGAATCGCATGTGTGTGCTCACTGACCAGACATGTCAAAATTCAAGGGGCTGAGATAGGGCCCCCAGAAACCCTAAGTCACACCACTAACTGTGTAAGAAAAAAACCCCAAAACATTCAAGTAAGCCATTTCCTTGGAAACCACCTCCCCCTTAGCATCATCAACAGCCAGAAAAATAATATTGACCATATACGACGACATAACTAATATCACGATTCCTCAGTGGTACATTTTGCAGCATGAACTTTTAGATACCAGTCACAGTGAAGTTATAATTTAAGATCTATTAATATTTGAAAGATCTCTGTCCATCAGTCAGCCAGCTCTTGGTCTTAATCCAGCCCCCAGAGGGCTGGGAGTAGGAAATGTGCCCGTTCACCTTCATTTATTTATAGAAGGCAGAAATGAGATCATAATTTCTGCAGTGCCTTTTCACAAAACGTGCATCTCTGACCCATTTGTATGCGTGCAACACAGCTTATAAATGTGAGATGTGAGCTGGAGAGTCCGGCTGCTGCACCCCAGGCTGGGAACACACATGGACGCACCGATGGCAGCTGAAAAGCACAACCGGAGCGGGCTGTGCCGCCAGCCAGCTGTTGGTTTAGAAATTCGTAACGTGCCCATCCTCCTTCCGGACCCTGTCGCCATCCCCTGCCGCACACGTACGCAACGGAGGATGCACGGCACATCTGATGTGACAAGTGCGCCCGGACTCAGCCCTCTCCAGGGTGGGGGGGTAGGAAAGAGGTGGGGAGGGTGGAATAGGGGTACAGCGGGTGGGGGGTGTCACCTCCAGGTCCCCTCTCCCAGCACACAGCACCCCCCCCCTCCCAAAAGCATCCTCCACCAGCAAAATGACGG